GCACAAATGCGCCACTAGATGACAGATGTGGGAAATGACGGGACTGACGGTGCAACAGTTCTGTGTGGAAAAATCTTCCCTCCATTCGGATGAGAGCTACCAGCACAGCAACACCTTCTCTTGTGGCTCACTCGTTTCCACTGTTAAAACAGGTTATTTGGATCTGCCCGCCTGTCCCTCCACCTGGGACCTGCAACAATTACAGTGAAGAGCAGACAGGGCCGGCCCAAGCCTCCATGGGGCCCTAATCAGTCTTTTGATGTCCGCCTCAGAGGCCACATTTTGAAAGGAAGTTGGACTTTACCTATTAAAGTTTTAGGTGCTCAGCATCATGGATGTAGCTTTGACTTGTTCGCGACTGAATTCACTGTTTCTTTTTGGCCAAATATCTCACGGCAAAATGAAACTGACGACAACCTACCAAGCCGAGTGTGTTTAATGGTGAAAGGGCAGCCGCATTCAAACACAAAACCACTATCAGAAGATAGTTACTTTCTATCAGAAGATAGAAAGTAACTATCTACTTTCTTTACTTTCTCTCCTTAAAGGTGGAAAAGATTAAAAATACCCACTATCTGCCTTTTAGATAGTTACTTTCTTTCCTTAAAGGTGGAAAAGGTTAAAAATACCCACTATCTGCCTTTTAGATAGTTGCTTCCTTTCGTTAAAGGTGGAAAAAGATTAAAAATACCCACTATATGACTTTTAGATAGTTACTTTCTTTCATTAAATGTGGAAAAAGATTAAAAATACCCACTATCTACGCCTTAGATAGTTAAGTTTTTCTCACCAGCAGTCGGAGCCTGTCCCAGCAGATATGAAAAAAAACAAACAAACAAAAAAAACAAACAATTGAAACAGTCCTCACCCAATAAATTTATTGAGGTTCTTATGGATCCGGTCGGTCGGCAGTCGTAGGGACGAGACCTCCAGCTCCCCTCATTCAATTTGGAGGTGAACTGAAGACAAACTCCTCAGATTGGCCAATGCATTCGATCTCTCATCGCCCTTGACCTCTCCACCTCGCCGGATCCTGTTCGTGACTGCAAATTGTTGTGGAAATTTTCCTTTAACAAAGAGTGAGGCAAAACTGTTTCAAGAACCAGACAAAGAATATATTCTTAATCAGTATTTATTCGAAGGCTCAACAGTGTTCAAACGTTCACTGAACGCAGTCAGGAGAAAGAGTCCCGAGCAGAACACAGCTTACAGTTTTATAGGTAGAGGTTCATTCAGATCGCATAGTTCGGTAATCTACTTGGTTACAGGACAGACAGCAGACTGGACAACAGACACGTGTTCCTCATCGCAGTTACTTTTGGTCGGGTTCTTGATATGCTGTGAAGGTGGTGAGGCAGACTCAACGGACCCAGGTTTTAGGGAATGAAATGATGAATTTAATAGTGATGGGCTATCTGAATCCAAGATTCAAGGCTTGTACCAAGTAAAAAGGGGGCGTGTCCGATGAAGCCCTGCTCCAAGGCTTGTCATCTTGTTGAGAACCACGTGACTGGCAACAAACAATGCCTCGCATTACCTGGATCACGGGACTGCTTCATTTTGCGTTTCGGTTTTCAAAGTAAAAGCGCGATGAGCCATGCTGCGTCATTGGTTGTTGACCATTTGGTCGTGCATCAGAGGAGGATATTTGTCTTCAGTGGCCAAAATAAAATGAACATTGACCAACATATTTGATGTGTATTGATGATGGCACCCATCAAAATGTAATGTTTGTTACTGGTTTTCTTAATTGTAGATTATGGTGTTTTTTATGACTTAGACTCTAGAAAGTTTCACTATTATTTGTAGTCTGATTAGCAAAGATATGTCAGTTTTGCACAGCAGAAACAGATTAAATCATGTTGCAGAACTAAAATTCAACATGTAGCCAAATATAAGGGATCAGAGCCAATTAGAAATCCAAGAAAAGCAAACGCCCCAACAGGCACTGCACTTTCAAGACACTAAAACATCAAATGTCTTTATTGTCAAATCTGTCTATGACATAAAAAAAAACTCAACACAACCACTGACGTTCAACATAAACCAGGATTAGACAAATCATTTTAATAATTAAAACAGATGACAATCAAATATGGTTTCATTGATTCTCCTGTTACTAAACATGAGCTTGATAAAAACTGTGACAATATTGCATTTTGTAATTTTTGGAAGTATAATCCGCCTGAATGATAAGGCTGTTAAAGTTTCACCAGCAGATGTCACTAGTGAATGATGAATGAAGCATTGAGTAATGAACCTTTTTGAAAAGCTAAGGGTTGGAAAGCTTCATTGCTTCATGAGGCTTCATTTGCCCATCACTAGAATTTAATGATGAAAATAAACAATAATCCAGGCAGCAAAGAAAGCTAAGGCTCTAAACTGGTAGGAACTGGTAAGACAAAACTAATGACAGACTTGACGGCAGACTGGATGTGACAAGGACCCAACAAGGAACACAGGTGGGTTTAAATACACAGGGAGACAATCAGGAGAAACAACTGACAGCTGGGGACGATCAAAGGATAAATGGGACAACAAGGAGACTCAACAGAACACAGAATCCTAAATAACCACACAAAAAAACAAAATTACTACAAAGCCCATCTTATCCCCTAATCTTATATTCATCAGCAAAGGTTTAAAAATCAGCCTCCGTCCTCTTCTGCTCTACAGAGAGAGGTTTGACTGACAGACCGACCCAACAGGTCAGGTCTCCACATTTACAATATTCACCCCAATGTTTCAACTCACCAACTTTCTTGCTATATTCAGCGACATTTCAGACCAAAAAAAATTATATCAGCTAAAATCAAAATCACCAGACCAGGCTTTTTAAAGATCAGTAACCAGGGATCGGCGAGAAAACTGCAATCGATGCAGCCCTACAGACATATTCATGAGATTCTTTGATTAAATAAATTTCTCTTAAGCGTTACTCCAATAGCTAAAAATGTAATTTATACCAGGTGAGTCTTTCTCCTCTGAGAATGTGGACCGGTACCGGTACTGGACTGATTCTGAGCCTTCACATTTCAACAGAAGTTTCACATAACTTAGAAGTTGATGTAACAATGTTTGTTTTCGCCACAAAATGATTCTGCTCAGCAGCAAACAACATATCCTCAACTACAGCATAGAGCAGCTCATCGATGCAGCAGCTGTGTAGCCTGACGTAAAAACCTTTTGCTACACAATGTCAAACATCGAGAAATTTTAATTATTGTTACCAAACGTTATCAAACACGGCGTTTTGAAACCAAAATACCTCAGAAATATACAGAGCCAACCATGAGAATCAACTCATTTAAAGTTTAAACTCAGTGTCACACAAACACAAAGTCATTGCACAGCAGCTCATGTTACCGGTGAAGTGTGCGGCCGCCAGGGGCCCCAGAAATTTGTATTTTTTTATCCATAAAATAATGATTTCCACATTCATTATCAAATATATATTTTTGTAAAAACAAATCACTTCATATTGAAATTTGTGTCTTTGACATCATAATGACAGAAATTATTACTAAATAAATAAATAAATCAGCTCAACTGAGGGGTGGCCCTAAATGGCTGCTTGGTTTGCTTTTGCCTTGGGTCGGCCCTGTCTACCACCATGCATCTTACATATCCATCTTGCATCACCCACAATAGTGATGCTCTTATTTTTATATGTCAAGTTCATAGTTCAACACACAAATTGTTTTTTAATAAGAGAAATGTTATTGAAATATATGGGAAGAAACTTGCATGAGAAAGACACTTTTGACTGAAGGCACATCACCAAAACATGTGAGGTAACATATGCTGTGAAATAACAAGTGTGCGTCATTATTTATGATCTGGGTAATTTCTGAGTGAAGTTAGTGGACTATAGCATCAACAGCTACAGTGAGGAGATAGATAGTTCTCAAAAATCAGACCAAACACACACTGATGTAGGGAAACTGTGAGAAAAAACTTAATAATAATGTTTGTTTCATTTGGTAGCTGTTTTATTCCCTTTTCTATCTCTTACTTTTAGTCTATTTAATGAAACTGAGTAAAGTTTCCATCACTATTGCTATTAATCAAACAAAAGTAAAGACACTCAAGAGACTGAGTACATAAAGCAGCAGAACACAGTTTTCTTATTCTGCTTTATCCGTGACCTAATTTTGCAATCCAGCTTCTAAAACAGAGGAAGCAGAACTCTATAGAAAAATGTGGAAGCAGATATTTGTTACACACAATTATGTAAACAATCTATGCAAGTTGATTTGATCATCTAATCAACTATACATGGGTTACTTTGTTTTTACATATCTGTCAAAGAGTAAGAAGCAAAATCTTAATAAGCAGCTTTTTCTTAGCAGTGCTACACAAAGAAGCAAAACATGTTTGATGTGCAAGAGATAAATAGTCACACTTTACATGGAAAAAGTTTAAAAGAAAAACATCAACTTATTATCCACTCATTAGTTAGTAGGTATGAAATAAATGTGGATGAGTAACACTTTATTTGACGGGGTGTGAATAAGACTGACATGACACTTTCATAAACACCTGTCATGAACATGAGTAATTCATGTCTATGGTCCCACAAGATGGTAGATTTCTTCTTTACAAAGAAGACCAAGGCACTGTGCGCCTGTTTGTACACAGCTGCCTCTCACTGGTGGAGATGGTGTATTGCACTACTTTAGGATCAATTAATTTAAGAAATGTAAACAGTGCCAGAGCAATATAATATCACCACGTAAAGCTAATTTTTAAAGTTTAATCGGTAATACTTTTATGACAAATTTATGTTAGATCATGATTTATTGGTTAATGTCAAGTTGTCATAACAAAGACATTTTGAATAATGTCAACTTTGTATTAAAAGTGTCATAATTTACAGAATGACACTTTGACAGTCATAAATATTCATGAAGACTTATTCATGTTTACGACAAGTGTTTACGACAGTATCATGTCAGTCTTATTCACAAGCCGTGAAATAAAGTGTTACCTGTGGATGTTTTGGAAATTTCCCCAGCCTGTAAATTTCTGCACAGAACTGATGTTACAGTAGGCGGGAGCGAGGGTTTGATGACTAAGACTCTACTCTGTATAAATACAACATCTACAACCCCAACCAGCAGCACAGTTCAGACAGGCAGCAACAGGGACCAACTTCCAAAACACAGAAGACATCACTGAAGTGGAAACTTTGCCGATATTATGAGATTTTTTTTCTTTTGACTTTGGTTCACACTTGATTTTCTGTCTTTGAAGTTAGTTTTAGCATTTTTGTTGCATTTTGTGCCGCAGCAGAGCACGCCATGAGGTGCTGTGCATTAGTGGTGTGTTTACTTTTGGGAATAGGCGTACAGAACGGATGGAGCCGTCCTGTCAAGTCGGTCTTTGTCACCTTCCCAGGGAACATCGTCAAAAATGTGGCAGATGTGGAGCTGGCACAAGTGAGTAGCAGATGGCAGTGTTGTGGTCAAGATCACCTAAACCGAGACCAAGTCAAGACCAAGACCAGGGTGAATCGAGAATGAGACAAGACCAAGACTTTTAGGGTCAGATACCGAGTCAAGACCAAAACCAGCGACTCGAGCTACATGACACGATAAAACGTGAAATTTGATCAAAATTGCTTCTCAAATTGATCTGAAACATCCATATTTCCATAAAACACCTAGATATTAAATACTTAATGGATTTTACCAATATTAAAAGCAGAACACTCTTTGTTCTGCTTTGCTTCCATCTCTGCGCTTCAAATCTGAGGTGGTTAGGAAGCACATTCAAAACCTTTGGTTGAAATGGTTCGTTAAATTCAAGTCTCCATTACAGACCAGAGAAAACTAAAGAGAATGCAATNAATGACAATGCAAAAGTTAATTAGACTGTAACATGCGCAGTCTGCTGCTCAACCACTGCGGACGCTGCGAAGAATTAAAAACCACTGGGAGTAACTCATGCAGCGGATTTAACAAAAGGAGCCTTCTGGATTCACGTTACCCAGGAGAGCGGCGTTCTGGAGGAGCGCTGCAGAAGAACATCTGTCCGTTTCGGAGAAGCAAAAACACAACCAAAAAAAATAAAAAATCCTGGTAAAAGCGGACACCAGACACTCTGTGAGTGTTAAACACTCACAGAGTTCAATTGATCTGTTTGGATCAAACAGATCCAACTGACTGATGAATTAGCGCAGATTTTATTAGCCCCAGGAGAAAGTGCGTTCAGACCCCAGCGGGTGAAGCGGGTAATTTGAGTGAAGTTGCTTAATTTAATTTATTAAAAGTTATTGGGGCTACGGTCTGTGGTTTTTGTTACTAGGAAGAAAAATGTAGATGCATTTATCTGCTTAATTTGTGATAGGATCTGAATTCACGGTGAATATTAACTAAACCGCATAAAATGCGGCTAAATAGCCGATGTTAATATGATTGTAGTTTCATGGATAAAAATAGTACGTAACCGATTTTTTTATGTTGTCGGTCAAGATAACAGATAACAAAAAAAGTCTAGGGCGACCTGCTGCCCTGACACAAACTCACACACATCTTCATTCACAGTCTTACTTGTAAATCGATTTTTCTTTTCTTGGACGTTTTGATGTTAGCTTGTCGATGTCTCAGTTTTATTCTCTGGGAAAATCAATAAGCAGCTTGAGGTGACTCTGCTGCTCTCTAGTGGCGAGAACGTTGACTGGTAAAAATCAGAATGCAGTATGGGAGATGTAGTTTGTAGTCAATTCGTGCTCAAAACCTATTTTAAGTCAATCATGGGCCTATAAAACGCTGGAGGGGCCACATAAAATGACGTGGTGGGCCACATGTGGCCCGCGGGCCTTGAGTTTGACACATGTGATATAGAGACTAATATCCATCCATCCATTTTCTGAACACCCTTGTCCCTCAGTG